TAGATGCCAGATCCTTACCCAAAGAAAAGCTTTCTCGGACTGCTTCAAAGTTTATTATTTGCCTAATTTTTTTTTATAGTTAACTTAAGCAAAGCACATAACTCATAGTGACCCCTAGTGGGTCACCAATTTTCCTAATTTTAGCAAACTACTCATTTTTTATTATTAAAACATTTTTAGTATTTTTAGTTATAACAACAATAAAACTTAGGGGCACTAAACCAAGGTTGACTGTCCAAACATTCCTTTTATTTTTATGGTATATTAATTTTTTGTTTTTCAATCTAATTAGCAAAACTCCAAACAAGGACCTTTTAACCTTGCCTTTCAGAACCTAAAATTATTTCTAGCTATGTAGTATTTGGTTTCTAGCTAACAATAGCTAAACACACAAAAATGACTAACGACAGTAATATCAAGTTCTGGGATACATACAGTAATGTCAAATTCTGAGGTTACACACTGACCTGGATAGGAAAGCCTGACAGGCTAGGGGGACGTTGATATATATAGAGAGACTGGTCCTTTGAGAACCATAAACTCTGAGTTTGGAGGGGACCAAGATAAGCCCCCCACTCTAGGGAAGATACATCTGTCACCAATATCAGCAAAGGTTGAGGGTGAACAAAGGGAATGCCTGCACATACACTGACCGGGTCTGTCCACCAATCTAGAGAAGTCAATACTCATTCAGGACTGAGTTCAGATGGTGATAACTTGGACAAAAAAAAACCAGAGGACAGTCAACTTTAAAGATTCCTGAGATGCAGTCTGGCATACCTGACTATGTATATGCACAAGGCCATACACCCCAGGAGCCTAATGCAGTTTTGAGCTCCTGTGACTGGGTAAGCCTTGAAATCTGCAACAAGAGATCAAATTGTTTGGAACTTTGTGTCTGGAAGGAAAGCTCTTGAGTAGAATCCAGTACTGCTCCTATAAAATCTGTCTTCTAAACTGGACAAAGGAGAGATTTCTATAAATTGATCAGTAGATCCAGAGCTTCAAATGTTGACTGGATGGGAGATACACACTGAACATTAACTGAGTCCTGGACCAGCGTCTTAGACTAGCCAGTCATCCAGATAAAGATAAACTTCAACTCAGACTCCTCAAGAAAGCAGCTATCACACGAGATGTTGCTGACAGGCTGAAAGGCAGCATGGTGAAGGGCTAATGAGAGTGCTTCACTACAAATATGAGATGCTTTCTGTGACCTTGATAAATCACCACACGAAAAAGACACCTTTTAAGCTGAGGGCAGCATACCAGCCTCCAGGATCCAAAGAGGGAATAATGGAAGCCAGGGTGATCATGCAAAACTTTATCTTTGTGAGATATCTGTTCAGCTGGCACAGGTCTAAAATTGGTCAAGACCTCCCTTTGCTTTTGGGATTAGGAAATAACAGTAATAAACCTCTTCCCTCTTGAGACAATGCAAAATATCCTCTATAGCTCCTATACGAAGGAGAGAAGGAAGCTCCTGGAGGAGAAGCTCCTTGTGAGAGTAGTCCCTGAAGAGGAACAGGCAGGGAAGGGCAGAAATAAACTGGATGGTATATCCCACTTCCACAGTGCTTAAGACCCATCAGTCTGAAGTAATCCAGGACTATGCACTGAGGAAGCGGTAAAGATGGCTTGCAAACACGAAGGAGGCAGAATCTGGCATCCTGGAAAGTGGGATGGTGTCATCAACTGACCCATCAAAACATCTGTTTAGCACCACCTGGCTGTTTAGATGGAGCAGACATTGATGCAGATGCAGGAGGAGGAAGTGGTCTGCATCTATAACCCCTACTTTTCTTTCTTTGCAGATCCTAACAAGGAGCAGGGACAGAGTAACAGTGGGTCTGCTGCAGGTAAAAATGTTTCCTGGACAGGGTTGGAATATACAACTCCAAAGACTTTAAAGTTGCCCTAGAATCCTTCACCCAAGGAGATTGGAGTCTGTTTCCACCAAAAAAATCAAGACTCTACAAAAGGCAGGTCTTCTGCAGCCAAGAGCGCTTGTGGCAGGTCTTGTGTTGTTTGTTGGACTTCTTGTGCAAGCCCCAAGACCTGCAGCCAAGAGCTCTTGTGCATGGAAACTGCAGAGGCCATGATGATCCTAGGAGCTGAATCTGCTGCATCTAGTCCAGCCTGGAGGAAAGTTCTTGCTCCAGATTTCCACTCATCATATAAAGAGGAAAACTCTACTCTAGCATCCTCCAGCAATATGTCCCTAAACTTTAATATGGACTCGCAAACATTACAATCATAACGTCCCAAAAAAGCCTGTTGACTGGCAATTCTGAGTTGTAACCCCACATTAGAATAAACTTTTCTACAAAATAAATCTATTTTTTTTGGATCTTTGATTTGGAGGTTTGCCCTAGAACTCCCTTTCATTGGCCGCTGACACCAAAGGAGAAACAGGGATCGGGGGGAGGAGGGGAAGCATAGATACTCAAATCCCTGGGAGGGAACATAATATTTACATTTGGCCCTTTTTGACGTTGGAAAATGGGATGAAGGAATCTGTCAGAGTGATTTAATGGACTTCAAAACTGCTTCATTAATAGGTATGGCCACCAATATCAATAAGGCAGTGGGAGGACTCCTTAACTTCCTCCAACTGGATCCCTGAACCTCAGGCAACACTCTTCAATAGCTCTTGGTAAGCTTTATAATCATCAGGAGGGCGTGAGATGCCTCCCAAGGAAACTGCTTCATCAGGAAAAGAGGAGGATGAAGCCAGCCTCGGTTGAGGCTATTCCTCCCCCGCTGTCAAGCAGGGTCCTCCTGAACCATCTCTTCCTGCTCCACAATGAGCCTGATGCCAGGGTCAGGAACAGGCGGTGCCAGGGTCAGGAACAGGCGGTGCCTAGAAAGTAGACTTCCCATGCTTCTCTGAGGTCACAGAGCACGAACACCTCAGGTATGACCTAGAAATCAGGGGGGATCCTCAGGGTTCCAGAAGGACCACTGGACCAGTGGGAAGACCCAGTGATTCCCTGACCACATGCCCGATCCTCTTCCAGCTGGAGGATCTCAAAGCAACCTAGGGAAGTAACACGTAAGTGGGGAGTAGTGTGACTAGCTCCAAGACTGGGAAATGTAAGAGCCAATCTCCAAGTCAGAGCAGTACAAATCACCTTCTATTGACCAAGGGGGAGCTGATGGTGTCAGAGACTAGTGCCGAATCAGCGAAGAGTGGAGAGCAGCCAACACTGCAGGCATACAATTCAACAGTATCAATGGGCGTGAAGTCTGAGGCAATGGAGGTTGTTGCAGTACCAACTACTGCACCAACAATACTGGTGACCCTCTATCTGCCTGTACCAGGGGCACGGTCGCCAGGGACATCGTCACAGATAGGCTCCGCAGATCTCTGCCACAAATGACTCTGATGGGGTCAGTGCCAAGATGGTCTCGGGTCACTGTGGTCAAGTCCAGATGCCCCTTCAGGCCCTGGATTTGACATTATTTGCCTCAGGGCTGGAATCAACATTGCTGGTTTTGGAACTACCAGAGAAGAGTGCTTGGATTTTGGCTGCACTCTACTCCCATCCCTATGCTTAGAGCAGGGGTAGGCAACCTATGGCATGCGTTTCAGTGGCACTCACACTTCCCGGGTCCTGGCCACCGGTTGGGGGGCTCTGCATTTTAATTTAATTTTAAATGAAGCTTCTTAAACATTTTAAAAACCTTATTTACTTTACATACAATAGTTTAGTTATATATTATAGACTTATAGAAAGAGACCTTCTAAAAACATTAAAATGCATTACTGGCACGTGAAACCTTAAGTTAGAGTGAATAAATGAAGACTCAGCACACCACTTCTGAAAGGTTGCCGACCCCTAGCTTAGAGGATTTTGATGCCAGAGACCTTCCTCTCCCAGTTGTCTGTTTAGAAGTCTTATGCCTCTTTTTAGATACTGGAGAGGGTGAGCAGTGCCAGGACGGGTAAATGAAAATAAAGGAGTTTATTTGCATAGATAAAATGTATATCTATATTTGGCACAACATTTATTAGCCTAGTTTTCAAGATCATTGCCTTATATCCAAAGTCTGTGTTTCCCAATGTAGTAAAGAAATACGCAGTTCAACGCATGATACATTTGCTTTATATAGAAGGCCTGGAGTGTGATCAGCACTTTCTACAGGCCAATTCTACAGACATCTGTCTACAATGAATTTTCAAATCTGTGTCCGAATAGTGTGGTAACTCAAAAACACAGCTGAAGTCAGTTTAAATGCAACTATGTATTATTAACTGAAAAAAATGTTTACAATTAAGTTAAAGTCACTGGAGTAGTTCTGAGGGGAAAAAAAGAAAAAGAAAAGACCTTAAGTGCATGATGTCTCAGAGTGTGGGGGGACACAAGGCCCTGCACCCCTGGCTTCCTGCGATTCACCATGACTCTCAGCCAGCCAGTAAAGCAGAAGGTTTATTTAGACGACAGGAACACAGTCCAAGACAGGTCTTGCAGGCACAGACAACAGGACCCCCTCAGTTAGGTCCATCTTGGGGTCCCAGGGGCACCACAGCCCCATGGGGGGCGAGGGGGGGGGCAGAGCCCCATCTGGGCTCCCTCCATTACCAGCCAGCTCCTGAAACCTCCCACTCCCTCCAGCGTCTCTCACCCAGCCTCCCCCCGCCTTTGTCCAGTTTCCCGCACAGAGGTGTCACCTGGCTCCAACCCCCTGGGTTCTCACGTTACATGCTCAGGTATCTTCCCTCAAGGCCAGTCTCCCATCCCCCAATGCAGACCGTCCCAGCCAAACCCCCCTGCCACCTTCTCAGGCCAACACTCCCCACTCAGCATTCAAAGACCACTCCCAGTTCGTCACACATGAGCAACAGCAGTAGTACAGAAAGTGGCTCAGGTGGGCCTCAGACCGCAACCATGTAATTCACAGCCTGCACAAAGCACTTAGTTTATCTAATAAATAAAATTGGATGGGAAGGGGCTGTGGGTAATGCCTGGAAATAGAAAAGTCTATTTTAATCTTACCTTTGAGTCATATGCTGACTGTTTTATTACTTCAGGTGCCATCCAGAATGGAGTTCCCACAAAAGTATTTCTCTTTATCTGTGTATCTGTTAGTTGTCCTGCTACTCCAAAGTCTGCTAATTTTACCTCTCCTTGTTCAGATAGCAAAACATTGGCAGCTAACAAAGAAAAAAAGGCAGTTTAAAAGTTTACAGCTTTGATGTTTCAAAGGTTTTCCTTATCTCTACTGTTTGAACATTTAACCAAAACTATTTTAAAAAAATGATTAAATAACTTACCCTTAATATCTCTGTGGATTTTCTTTTCTGAATGCAAGTAATCGAGTCCTTTAAGTATCTCTCTTAATATTGTAGCAATCTGGATTTCATCAAGACAGCCAGGCTCTAACTATGAGAAACATACAAGAAATATTTGTAAATACTTGCAAACTACAAATTTCAGAGACAACACAGAAACGGTAAGAAAAAATAAACTAAAAATGCTAAGTTCAAAGAATTCATAGAAACATAGGGCTAGAAGGGACCTCAAGAGGTCATCTATGCCATCCTCCCCTGTGATGAGACAAGGGATACCTAAACCATCCCTGACAGGTATTCTTCCAACCTACAACCTCGCTTGGCAACCTATTCCAATACTTAATTATCCGTATAGTTAGAAAGTTGTTTCTAGTATCTAAGCTAAACCTCCCTTGCTGCAGATTAAGTTGATTACTTCTTGTCCTACCTTCAGTGGACATGGAAAACTAATTTGCACTAATGAATGAGATAGATATATTGAATTAATGAAACTTGAAATGCTAATAAAAATAAGGCTAACATCAAAAATGTATTTTATTCATTTGTCAATAGCAGTTTAGTTTTCATTATTTATCATACCTTTAAATGCACTACTAAATGTACTTTAGTATATATTACGTAATTAAATTTGAGTAATACAAGATATCATTACAGCATCAGCTATTACAATCTTAGAATAGAAGACTGGCCATACTGGGTCAGACCAATGGTCCATCTAGCCCAGTATCCAGTCTTCAGACAGTGGCCAATGCCAGGTGCTTCAAAGGGAATGAACAGAACAGGCAATCATCGAGTAATCCATCAAGTCATCCACAGCTTCTGGCAAACAAAGGCTAGGGACACTCAGAGCATGGTGTTGCGTCCCTGCCCATCCTGGCTAATAGCCATTAATGGACCTATCCTCCATGAACTTATCTACTTCTTTTTTTAACTTGTTATAGTTTTGGCCTTCACAACATCCCGTGGCAACAAGTTCCACAGGTTGACTGTGCCTTATTGAAGAAGTACTTCCTTTTGTTTGTTTTAGACCCACTTCCTATTAATTTCATTGGGTGACCCCTAGTTCTTGTTTTATGGGAACGAGTAAATAACATTTCCTTATTCACTTTTTCTACACCAGTCAAGATCTTATAGACCCCCTATCATATTTCCCCTTAATCATCTCTTTTCCAAGGTGAACAGTCCCAGTCTTTTTAATCTCTCCTCATATGGAAGCTGTTCCATACGCCTAATCATTTGTATTGCCCTTTTCTGTTCCTTTTCCAATTCCTATATATCTTTTTTGAGATAGGGTGATCAGATCTGAATGCAGTATTCAAGATGTGGGCGTACCTTGCATTGATATAGAGGCATTATGATATTTTCTGTTTTATAATCTATCCCTTTCCTAATGGTTCCTAACACTGTTAGCTTTTTTGACTGCCACTGCACAGTGAACAGATGTTTTCAGAGAACTATCCACAATGACTCCAAGATCTCTTTCTGAAGTGATAACAGCTAATTTAGACACTATCATTTTGCCTTTATAGTTGGGATTAGGGTTTTGCAATGTGCATTACTTTGCATTTATCAACATTGAATTTCAGCTGCTATTTTGTTGCCCAGTCAGCCAGTTTTGGGAGATCCCTTTGTAACTCTTCACAGTCAGCTTCGGACTTTACTTTCATGGAGGGTAAGTCCATCAATGGTTATTAGCCAGAATGGGCAGAGACGGTGTCCCTAGCCTCTGTTTGACAGAAGCTGGGAATGGGCGACAGCGGGTGGATCACTTGATGCTTACCTGTTCTGTTCATTCCCTCTGGGGCACCTGGCATTGGCCACTGTTTGAAGACAGGATATTGGGGTAGATGGACTTTGGTCTGACCCAATATGGCCGTTCTTATGTTTTTGAGTAATTTAGTATTGTGTGCAAACTTTGCCCCCCCCCCCCACCTGTTTAACCTCTTATCCAGATTTTTTATGAATAGGCAGAACAGCACTGGTCCCAGTACAGATCCTTGAAGGACCAAGCTATTTACCTCTCGCTGCTGTGAAAACTGACCCTCTGTTTCCTATCTTTTAAACAGTTACTTATCCATGAGAGAACCTTTCCTCTTATTCCATGACTGTCCACTTTGCTTAACAGCCTTTGGTGAGGGACCTTGTCAAAGGCTTTCTGAAAGTCCAAGTATACTACATCCACTCGATCACCCTCATCCACGTGTTTGTTGACCACGTCAAGGAATCACAGAATCATAGAAGATTAGGGTCGGAAGAGACCTCAGGAGGTCATCTAGTCCAATCCCTTGCTCAAAGCAGGACTAACACCAACTAAATCATCCCAGCCAGGGCTTTGTCAAGCCAGGCCTTAAAAACCTCTATGGATGGAGATTCCACCACCTCCCAGGTAACTCATTCCAGTGCTTCACCACCCTTCTAATGAAATCATTTTTCCTAATAACCAACCTAGATCTCCCCCACTGCAACTTAAGACCATTGCTCCTTGTTCTGAGAACAGCCTAGCTCCATCCTCTTTGGAACCCACACTTCAGGTAGTTGAAAGCTGGTATCAAATCCCCTGTCACTCTTCTCTTCTGCAGACTAAATAATCCAAGTTCCCTCAGCCTCTCCTCATAAGTCATGTGCCCCAGCCCCCTACTCATTTCCATTGCCTTCCGCTGGACTCTCTCCAATTTGTCCACATCCTTTCTGTAGTGGGAGCCCCAAAACTGGACATAATACTCCAGATACGGCCTCATCAGTGCCTAACAGAGGGGAATAATCACTTCCCTCGATATGCTGGCAATGCTCCTACTAATGCATCCCAATATGCCATTAGCCTTCTTGGCAACAAGGAGACACTGTTGACTCATATCCAGCTTCTCGTCCACTCTAATCCCCAGGTCCTTTTCTGCAGAACTGCTGCTTAGCCAGTCAGTCCCCAGCCTGTAGCAGTGCATGGGATTCTTCCATCCTAAGTCCTGACTCTGCACTTGTCCTTGTTGAACCTCATCAGATTTCTTTTGGCCCAATCCTCCAATTTGTCTAGGTCACTCTAGACTCTATCCCTACCCTCCAGCGCATCTACCTCTGCCCCCAGCTTAGTGTCATCCGCGAACTTGCTGAGTGTACAATCCATCCCATCATCCAGATCATTAAGGAATCATTAAGGAATTCTAATAGATTGCTGAAGCATGATTTCCCTTTACAAAAGCCATGTTGTGACTCTTTGCTGTGGGGAGAACCAATTTTTGAATGGACTAGATAGAAAGCTTGTCGTTCTGTGAAGTGTGTTTTAGCAAGGTTCTATTGTATTTAATCACAGAAAATATACACATCTAACACCCACAATGCAAGATTGTTTCAAAGGACATACCTACCAACCCTTCCGGGGAAGAGGGAAATTACATCACTAGGTCCATTCAAATCTTAATGAGACTACAGGCAGGGTGCTTTGTTTTTTTAAAAATGTGTACACTAAGGAACAAATGTAAGAGCACCATGAAGAGCCAGCAGACAATAACAACCTTCAGGTCATTAATATTCTATGGCTCGGTGAAGGTCAGAGTTTTGAGATGAAAGTTTTCATACCTTATTACTAACATCCTGAGTTACCTAGCCTTTTTGCACATGAACATAACCTGATGTCATCTCATGGAAAATGTGTTTTAATTCATAGATGAACAGAAACGTTTTCTTCTAACTACTGGGAATTTCTGCATGAAAACAGGGCTTTTGTTTCTTAATATATCTGGTTATGCCACTTTATTTCTCTACTGAAGCAATAATCCTGGGTTTGACAGCACAACTGCTATAGCAATAATGATGTCACACGAGGATTACAGGTGTATTATAAACAGCAGAAACATTCAAGAAATGCATTAATGAAATTTTAACTAAGTTTACTAAATTAATGACGTTCATAACTAGTTTACTTACTAGATCAAGAGCAGAGCCTCCACCAAGGTATTCCATTATTATCCATAATTTTGTATCCTGCAAAAATAGAACAGATGAAATCAGTAGCTTCACACTTTAGTTTCTTTCATGACTTGCTTCACTCATTTTGCTGCAAAATGAATTCTGTAGAATTATTACAGTAAATATGTAATGGCACAGAATTTCACTAAACTATATAATCTGTCATGGCAGAAAAATACTGCTCCTGCTCCACATTTTTATTTATTTGACGTTAACATACACTGACTTCATTCCACTTTATTCATTTTTTTCCATCTTAGATTTTACAATCCTTATTTCCATACACTGTCTTATCCTATATAGAAACATAGGAACTGCCATATCTGAATATACTAGTGGGCCACATGAAGTAGTCAGGTATTATGTCTCCATAACAGCCAAACACAGATGGATCAGAGGAAGGTGTAGACCCCTTAACATTGCCACAGTATACTACTCAGGGGAGTAGGAGATTTCTCTCTACTTCAAGCTAATGAAAACCATCTGGTGCAGTAGGGAAGCCCTACCTAGTTGAACTGCATATATAAAGAAAAGTATTACAAGTGTCTAATCTAGTGTTTCTCAACCTGAAAAGTAGGGGGTACAGGACAGAAGAGAGCACTCATGAACAATGAAAATGAAACAATACAAATATGCTCCAGAGGCTCGATAGAAAGCAGCTTATCGTTTCCCAAGAGTAATGTACTGTCCCTTCCTGCTCTTATAACAATCCTTAAATGTAGTTCATTGCAGAAGTATCTAATATTCTCTGACAAAAAAAAACAACTTAGTTAAGACCGATTAAAGGTGCCCAGTGGTATACTGTGCCTTCCCAGAAGAAGTATCGGAGGGGTAGCCGTGTTAGCCTGAATCTGTAAAAAGCAACAGAGGGTCCTGTGGCACCTTTGAGACTAACAGAAGTATTGGGAGCAAAAGCTTTCGTGGGTAAGAACCTCACTTCTTCAGATGCAAGACCAGAAGAACTTCTTCCCAGAAGAAGTTACTCACCTTGTGCAATAACGATGGTTCTTCGAGATGTGTCCCCCTATGGGTGTTCCACTGTAGGTATGCTTGCATCCCTGCATTGCTGATCAGGGAACTTCGGTAAAAGTGCCAGAACAGCCTAACCCCCGAGTTCCTTCTTCACTGCAGAGTCACTGACAAGAACTCTGAAGTAGACGGCAAGAGGGTGGGTTGTGGGTCACCCATAAGGACACACACTGCACAAGGTGAGTAGCTTTTTCTTCAAGTAGTGTCCCTATGGGTACTCCACTGTAGGTGACTCCTGAGCAGTATCCCTACTGGAGGGTTGGGGCTTCGGGGTCGGGTCAGTTACCGATAACAATATTGTGGAGCCGAAGATGGCATTGGAGGCAGAGACCCCAGTGATTGCATAATGTTCCGCAAAGGTGTGGACTGACATCCATGTTGCCGCTCTACAAATTTCTGAGATAGGGACATTCTAGAAGAAGGCAGTCACCTCTTGGAGTGTGTGCAAATACTATCAGCAGTAGCCTTGTGGAGTGTGTGCAAATACTATCTTGCGGGGTCATGCTGAAGATCTGATAACATTGTCTAATGCAGTTTGAGACCTATTTGGAGAGTCTCTGAACTATACTGCTTGGTCCTTAGATTTTTCTGCAATAGAGAGGAAAAGTTTAGGGGATTTCCTGAAAGCCTTCATCCTATGCAGGTAAAAGGCTAGGGCTCTCCTGACATCTAGTGTGTGCAATATAGCCTCCCAGTAGTCGTGATGAGGCATGGGGTAGAAAATTGGAAGGTGAACCAATTGGTTCATGCGAAATGGGGAGGTTACCTTAGGGATGAATTTTGGTTGTGGCCTGAGCATAACCTTGTCCCAAAAGAATACTGGGAGGGGAGGGAAAGAAAGAAAGAATGTGCCATCAGAGCTGCTATTTCTCCTAATCTCCTAGCTGAAGTGACTGCTGTCAGGAAGTCCATTTTCATTGAAAGGTATGTAAGCGAGCAGGTGGCCATAGGTTTGAAGGGAGGTATAATGAGGCCTTTCAATACCAGGTTTAGGTCCCACATGGGAGTAGAATGTCAGGGTTGTGGGAAAAGGTTTACTATACCCCTAAGGAATCGTTTAGTGGTTGGGTGTGATAGCACTGAGTATTCCTCTACCGGTGAAAGGCTGCTATAGCTGCTAGGTGGACCCTGAAGAAACAGAGATAGTACTGAATTTTTTAGAGTTAGGACATAGTCTAGGATCTCTGGAAGAGTCACGAGCGTCAGAGAAATTTGTTGGGAGATGCACCAAATTCGAAACCTGGACCATTCAGGTAGCTATGTCCAGCATGTTAAGGACTTTCTAGTATGTAATAACACCTCTTGTACCTCCTTTGAGCAGGAGCTCTCCATGTTTGAACCATGAAGGAGCCACGCTTTGAGGCGAAGAACCCCCAAGTTGGGATGTAGGGTACATCCTTGGTTCTTCGAGAGGAGGGAAGAAGTGGATTGGAGAGAAATTGGTGGGCATGCCGCGAGTTGTGACAGGTAAGGATACCAAGTCTGTCTTGGCCAAGTAGGACCAATCAGCTAATTCTCTTTTTATTTTTAATAGGACTTTTGACAGTAGAAGAAATGGAGAAAAGGCATAGAGAAGGTCCCTGCCCCAGAGGAGGAGGAAAGCATCGCCCACTGAGTGCTGTCCTATGATTGGGATCACTAGTGTGGACATTTCTTGTTCAGGCAAGTGGCAAACAGGTCTGTGGTCAGCATCCCTCACTGCCTCAATAGGTTATGAAGTACCACTGGGTTTATCGCCTACTTGTGGTCATGTGGAAATTTCCCACTGAGATTGTCCATTATCAAGTTTTGAGTGCCTGGAAGGTAAGTGGCTGATAGTATGACATCCTGGGAGATACACCAGTTCCATAGTCTCACTGCCTCTGCACAGAGGGAGGGGTGATCTGCCTCCCCCCTTGCTGATTTATATAGTACATACATGCTATGTTGTCTGCTAGAACTCTCGTGTGTGATCCCTTGATCAGTTGGAGGAAATGGGCATAGGCATTCCTGACCACCCTTAATTTGAGGAGGAGGATGTGAAGGGATATCTCCATGGATGACCACCTGCCTTTTGTCATGAAGTCATTTATATGCACGTTCCATTCTATGAGGGATGTGTCAGTGAGGAGAATCAATGATGGGGAGGTTTGTGAAAAGGGGATCCCCTTGCAAACATTTGCAGGGTCTTTCCACCTAAGGACTTTTTAATCCTGGTGGGGTAGTGACAGATATTTGTCTAGCCTATCTGGTCTGTAAACTGAACTGAACCAAAACTGGAAGCATCACATGTGAAGCCTGGCATGTGGTATTACCACTGTGCCCGCTGCCATATGCCCCAAGAGTTGTAGGCAGTGCCTGGCTCATATTTGTGGGCTGTCTATATGAGTATGGCCAAAGACAGGAATCTGTGTAGAGGTACATAAGAACGTAAGAATGGCCCTATTGGGTCAAAGGTCCACCTAGCCCAGTATCTTGTCTTCGGACAGTGGCCAGTACAAAGTGCCCCAGAGGGAATGAACAGAACAGGTAATCATCAAGTGATCCATCCCCTGTCACTCATTCCCAGCTTCTAGCAAACAGAGGCTAGGGACACCATTCCTGTCCATCCTGGCTAACAGCCATTAATGGACCTATCCTTCATGAATTTATCTAGTTCTTTTTTGAACCCTCTTATGGTCTTGCCCTTCACAACATCCTCTGGTAAGGAGTTCTACAGGTTGAGTGTGTGTTGTGTGAAGAAATACTTCCTTTTATTTGTTTTAAACCTGCTGCTTATTAATTTCATTTGGTGACCCCTACTTCTTGTGTGATGAGAAGTAGTAAACAACACTTCCTTATCTACACCAGTCATGAATTTACAGACCTCAAATCATATTTCCCCTTAGCTGTCTCTTTTCCAAACTGAAAAGTCCCAGTCTTATTAATCTCTCCTCATACAGAAGCCGTTCCATATCCCTAATCATTTTTGTTGCATTCTTCTGAACCTTTTCCCATTCCAATATATCTTTTTTGAGATGGGGCGACCACATCTGCACACAGTATTCAAGATGTGGGCGTACCATGGATTTATATAGAGGCAACATGATGTTTTCCATCCTATTATCGATCCCTTTCTTAATTATTCCCAGCATTCTGTTTGCTTTTTTGACTAATGCTGCACATTGAGTGGATTGTTTTCAGAGACCTATTCACAATCACTCCAAGATCTCTTTCTTGAGTGGTAACAGCTAATTTAGACCCCATCATTTTATATGTATAGTTGAGATTATGCTTTCCAATGTGCATTACTTTGAATTTATAGACATTAAATTTCATCTGTCGTTTTGTTGCCGTCGCCCAGTTTTGAGAGATCCTTTTGTAGTTCTTCGCAATCTGCCTGGGTCTTATCTATCTTTAGTAATTTTGTATCATCTGCAAATTTTGCCACTTCACTGTTCACCCCTTTTCCCAGATCATTTATGAATATGTTGAATAGGATTAGTCCCAGAACAGTCCCCTGCGGGACACCACTATTTACCTCTCTCCATTCTGAAAACTGACCATTTATACCTACCCTTTGTTTCCTATCTTTTAACCAGTTACCAATCTATGACAGCACCTTCCCTCTTACCCCGTGGCAGCTTACTTTGCATAAGAGCCTTTGATGAGGGACCTTGTCAAAGGTTTTCTGAAAATCTAAGTACTCTATATCCACTGGATCCCCTTGGTCCATATGCTTGCTGACCCCCTCAAAGAATTCTAGTAGATTAGTAAAGGGAAATCATGCCTCACCAAAACCATGTTGACACTTCCTCAACAAATTATGTTAATCTATATGTCTGACAATATTGTTCTTTATTATAGTTTCAACCAGTTTGCCTGGTACTGAAGTCAGGCTTACAGGCCTTTAATTGCCAGGATCACCTGTGGAGCCCTTTTTAAAAATTGGTGTCACATTAGCTATCCTCCAGTCATCTGGTACAGAAGCTGATTTAGGAGAGCTTTGGCCTGTAAGGAGTTGAGGT